GTGATGTCAGCCACAGACAGCTGCTCATGGTAGGCTTTCTCAGCAGAGATGACCGGGGCATAGGTGGCCAGAGGGAAGTGGATACGGGGATAGGGCACCAAGTTGGTCTGGAACTCTGTCAAGTCAACATTCAGAGCTCCATCAAAGCGAAGTGAAGCTGTGATGGATGAGACTATCTGACCAATGAGCCTGTTCAAGTTGGTGTATGTTGGTCGCTCAATGTCAAGGTTCCTACGGCAGATGTCGTAGATGGCCTCATTGTCCACCATGAAGGCACAGTCAGAGTGCTCCAAGGTGGTGTGGGTGGTCAGAATGGAGTTGTAAGGCTCCACAACTGCTGTGGAAACTTGAGGGGCTGGATAGACGGCAAACTCAAGCTTGGATTTTTTACCATAATCAACTGAGAGTCTCTCCATGAGGAGGGAGGTAAAACCAGAACCAGTGCCTCCACCAAAGGAGTGGAAGATGAGGAAACCTTGCAGGCCAGTGCACTGGTCAGCCTGAAAATAAAAAGGAATTTGATTATTTAAAACCTAGATCATTTCACCAATGTTTGCAAGCGGATGCATTTAAACCTAGGAAGCTAAAACCTTTGGAAGTGTTTGAATCGTGGTAAACAAGAGCAGCAAACTACTATAACCAAACTCTCACCAGTTTGCGCGTCCTGTCAAGAACAAGATCTATGATCTCCTTGCCGATGGTGTAGTGTCCACGGGCATAGTTGTTGGCAGCATCCTCCTTTCCCGTAATCAGCTGCTCGGGGTGGAACAGCTGACGGTAAGTTCCTGTACGCACCTCATCTGTAAAAAACAAATGAACAAAAAAGGTTAGCATAAGAATAAATTTGCCATTTTTTAAGATGCTTGGACATACTGTACATTCCTGTTCATTTCGTCTACCCACCAATGACAGTAGGTTCCAGGTCAACAAAGATGGCTCTGGGGACGTGCTTTCCAGCGCCTGTCTCACTGAAGAAAGTGTTAAATGAATCATCGCCTCCTCCAATCGTCTTGTCAGAGGGCATCTGTCCATCTGGCTGGATCCCATGTTCCAAACAGTAGAGTTCCCAACATGCGTTGCCCATTTGGGCTCCGGCTTGGCCAACGTGCATAGAAATACACTCACGCTAAAAACAAAGATGGAACAAAGATGGAGGTTAAAGGGGGCTGGGTTTTTTTCAGAGCTCATTTAACCAACCACATAAGTTTTGCATTTTCTATAGCATCTTGGCCTGGACTCACCATAAAATGAGCCTCGAACTGTACAACTTCATTTATTGGTCTTTACTTTTGTGAATGGATAGGAAAGGCACTTCACTGATGTAATCAACTTGTGTTTTGTTTTTTGTAGAGTTTGTACAGTACTTGATCTTGTGATGTGCACAGTTTGAACAAAACTGGAATTGTACTTTGGTTTAACAATAAAAATAAATAAAAAGCAGTCAGTAGATGGCAGACAGGATGCCCAAGCTTTAAAATGGTGGGAAGGTTTGACATCATCTCTTCATCCTTTCTCCTCCCTTTCCTCATCCCCTCCCAGTTTGGGTTGTTCTCCTCCCCCATCCTGTCCAGCTGCATACTGGAGGGCTGTGCAACATGTCTTTCTCTCTCTTTCTCCTACTCGCCCTTCGCATAGCTCACCATATTTTTCAAACCAAAAATCTCCCGACAAAATGGCTGCCATCTAACTCATACTTCCAGCCAAACCACTCCTCTTTCCTCTGCTCTTTTTATTCCACCCCTCCACTGCCACGATTACAATGATCCATCCACACCCATCAGTTATGAATATACTTTCTCAACAGAATTGTTACTTTTTTCTTTACTTGGCTGTTTCCTGCTTTGTGCATGTGTTTAAAAAATGACACTCATTAACACTTTAAAGTGTTAGTCATCTGACCTAGTTTTTAAAGATTACGACTTTCAGTCTTTTGTTCCATTCACTTTGCCTTTTTGGCACTCAATATTTGATAAACATGCTCTAAAAAGTTTTGTAACGGTTATATTTCAAAAACAGCTTATACTTAGATAAAGGTGCTTTCTCTTATAGAAACCTTTACTGCAGCAGTTAAAGAGCTTTAAATATGTCCAGATATTCAAGTTGTATTTTACTGAAAAACAAGGGGAAAGAGAGAAAGGAAATTTTTGTCAGCCAAGCAGTTACTCACCATTTTGTCTGCTTGTCCTTCGACTAACGTTGAGGATTCAGACACAAGGCAAAAGTGCAGAAGAAAGGAGAGCCGGGGCTTTTATAGGCAAGTATGTGAAGGGGGCAGGCAGAAATCCACACAGAGCAGTTGCATATTGGCGGGAGAGTGCAACGCTTGAAAAAAAAGAAGAAGAGGGAAGTTAAAGATTATTGTATCCAAACTAACACCCGTCTGCATTTGGAGTTTAAAACTCATTATACACCTTTTGAACAACTGTTTTAAACTTTTTATTGTGTCTGTGACCACAGTGAAGCTTCTTTTCACATGCAGTTTGATTTTTATTTTTTTATTTTTTAAGTACAGGATGTGCATACATTCATCGAAACATGTAAGGCATTCACCCCAATCACTTCAACATACGGTGGTGAAAAGAACAGGGAGCACTTTGAAGCTTAGTTCTGCACCCATATGCTCACAAACCCACTGATGCGTTCAGTCAGTAAATGATTAATCATACACAGGATGTAGAATAAAGCAAGGCGTTTTATTTCAAGCATCAACATAGATCATCACCTGCCTTGATTACAAGAAAAGATCAGTACAGATTTAACACAAGTTGCTGATTATACGGAATATATATATATATATATATATAGCAAATACAATTGTAATTCAATTTAGACAAACTTTTTTTTTACAGAAATAGCTGCATTGCAATGCAAGTTGAAGGAATAAAACCATGCAAAAATGCATTTCTTTTTTTTCCTTTTTTTTTGGTACAAGCTGACCTGTTAGGATCACAGAGCTGCAATTCATTCATCCATGCAGAAGTGAACTGGGATCCTATTGTTGCTGCAGGCCATGGGTTGACTATGAGCTACACAAACAAAACCAGTCACTGAGTAGTTGACTTATATGCTATCCTCATTCTCACAGTCACTCACTGTTGAACAGCACATAGAAACTGACACAGAAACCCTTTCATAACTTACGTTCCTCATGGGAGAGGATAGTTGGGGGGAGGTGCACAGAATGGCTTAGTCTTAAGTTTCTCAGCCAGACAAAAAATGCTGTAAGTAAACATCGTAGACAACTAAAAACCACATAGGTTATTTGGACTGACTGCAAACATAAAGTCCCCCAAAAGAAGCCATAGCAAATGAGTAAAATACAATTCATGAATTTTAAAGGCGTTCAATAAGCTAAGCAAATATATTTTGTGAACAAGTTTCACTACATGTAGAACATTAATTCAGTTTACCGTGCAATCAGTGTTATTAATGTTGTTAATAAATGTTTGATTTTAAAACAAAGAAGAATCATTTGACTGTGCTTTAATTATGCAGGTTACAAAAATATCAGTATTCCTCTCCGTCGTTCTCTTCATCTACATTGTCAGCACCAACCTCCTCATAATCCTTCTCCAGGGCAGCCAAGTCTTCTCTGGCCTCGGAGAACTCTCCTTCCTCCATTCCCTCTCCAACATACCAGTGGACAAA